CTTTCCTCTGCCACCTTAGAATCTAAAGTAGGTCTTTTCTACCAAAACATGGCAAAAGTTTTTGCCATGGGGAAAAATCCAAAAAGAATGCAACATTAAGGGTCTTCCATGACCAAGAGCTGTGTCTGGAGGTTACCACCACCATTGTATATCCATACATATTGGTTGGTTTTATTGCATTAATCCATTCATTAAATATTTTCTGAAAGCTTTGTGCCAGATGCAGCTCCAGGAGCTGGGGATAAAAGTGATTAACAAAACAATGTCCAGGCACTCATGGAATGTATGTTCTATGAGAAGACAGACATCAATCAAATAACCGTATGAATACACAGTGTCAAACTGACAATTACTACAAGGAAAAGGAGCTATGAGAACATGGAGCTGTGATATCTGGCCAGGACTAGGGGCCCAGGAAGCCTTTGCAGATAACTAACCACAGTAAAAGAATGAGTAGGACTTTATGTAGCAGTAAAAGAGAGTGGGCAGAAGTTTTAGGCAGAGAGAACAACAAACACAAAAGCAGTGAAATTAGAAAGTCAGTGTGGTCAGTGCACAAGGAATGCGAGAGTGTGGGATCTACAAAAAACACACATCTGGCACCATATTTGGTGTAAGATTGAATGCTTTCGACCTAACATCAGGACTAAGACAAAGATCTCTGTTCTTGCCATTTCTATTCAACATTATACTGGTTCTAGCAAGAACAAGTGAGTAAGAAAAATAAATAAAAGGCATCATATTTGGAAATGAAAAAGTAAAGATACCTTCATTTGCAGATGACATTATATTCAACATAGAAATTCTAAGGAATCCACAAAAAACTTTTAGAAATAATGCACAAATTCAGGGAGATTGAAAGACATAAAATGAAGATATGAAAATCAGTTTTGATTTTCTAGCAATGAACAATCTGAAAGTGAAATTAAGAAAACAATTCAATTTATAATGGCATCAAAATAATAAAATACTTAAGAATAAATTAAACAAAAATATAAGAATTGTACATGGGAAACTACAAAGTATTATCAAAAGAAATTTAAAGACATCTAAATAGATGGAAAGATATCCCATGTTTATGAATTGGACTATTTAATGTTGTTAAGGATGGCAACACTCCCCCAATGTGATCCATAGATTCAATGCAATCTCACCAATATTCCAGCTGCCTATTTTGCAGAAATTGACAAGCTGATTTTAAAATTCATATGGAAATTCAAGGGGCCCAGAATAGCCAAAACGAGCTTGAAAAAGAAAGAGTACGTTGGAGGACTCACGATTCCACATTTCAAAACTTACTGCCAAGCTTCAGTAATCACAGCAGTGTAGTACTATCATAAGGATAAACATGTAGGTGAGTGGAATAGCATTAAGAGTCTAACAACAAATTCTTATATTATGGTCAGTTACCTTTTAATAATCTTTTCCAAAAAATGGTGCTAAATTAAAAATGGATGAATGATATTAATAGATATTTCCCCAAAAAAGGTACAAAAATGGTCAAAAAGCCCATGAAAAGATGCTAAACATCATTTTTGACTAGGAAAATGGAAATCAAAAGTGGTATCTCATATGTCATTCACATTCATTAGGATGGCTAAAATTTAAAAGTCAGACAATAACAAATATTGGTAAGAATGTAGAGAAATCAGATTTTCTGGTGGTGGGATTGTAAAATGGTGCAGCTGCAGTGGATAATGGTTTGGAAATTCTTCAAAAAGTTAAAAATAGAGTTACCATGTGATCTAGCAACTTTATTCTTAGGTATTTAACCAAGAGAAATGAAAGTATGTGTCCACACAAAAACTTATACATAAATATTCATAACAGTCTTATTCAAAACAGACAAAAAGTAGAAACAGCCCAAATGCTCATCAACTGAATGAATAGATTAAGCAAATGTGTGTGGCCATACAATGGAATATTATTTGCAATAAACAGGAAGGAAGTACTGATACATTCTAGAGCATTAATAATCCTTGAACCATTATATAACTGAAAGAAGCCAGACACGTATTATATGCTTTCATTTATAGGAAATATCTAGTACAGGCAAATTAATACAGACAAAAGTAGATTAGTGATTGTCATGGGATGGAGGGAAGGGAGGAGTAAACAGTAACTGCTAATAGGTATAGAGTTTCTTTCTGGGGTAATGAAAATACTCTAGAATTAGACGGTGGCGTTGGCTTCACAACTCTGTGAACATACTAAAAACGCCGAGTTGTGCTTCAAATTGTGAAATTTTTGGTTGTGAATAGTAGAGGGAAGCAGATAATGAAGAGTTTATTAGTGGGTACAAATATACGGTTTGATAAAAGAAAGACCTAGTGTTAGATCAACAGGGTGACTATTGTTAACAATAATCTATTGTACATTTAAAAATAGCTAGAAGAGAATGATTTGAATGTTTCTAGCATAAAGAAAAGACAAGTATTTAATGTGATATCCCAAGTATACTGAGCTGAGCTTTACAAATTATATAAATGTATTACATTATTATGTATACCTCAAAATTATGTACATCTATCAGGCATCAATAAAAAACAAATAAATACATTTACAAAATGGCAGTAGAAAGCCAGTCTAATGTAATAGTCCTGGTAAGAGACGATGGTGGCATGGAAATAGGGTGACTGTGAAAATAAAGAGAAATGAGACATATGATGGAAAGCTAATCACAGGAATTTCTACTCACTGTCACACCACCCTGTACCAACCTAGCCTAAGCCCCAGCTGTGGTGAGTGGATCTAGAATTGATGGTGGAGTGGATTTTATTCTGGCAGGCTTTTTTCTCCAGCAGGTAACTGAGCAGATCATGATATGAAGCTGATACGAAGCTGAAGTTAAGCAGTCTCGGTGACATCGAAGGTTGATGCACAGCACAGTTGCTTTATTTAAGGTAATTTGGACATTGATTCAACACCAGTAAGGCCAGGGTTTTATTAGTATCCCCCTCCAACTCTCCGCTAAAATATGTCCCTCCCTCCTTCATGTCCTTATTTCACTCAACTTGACTTGACTGAACAGCTAATGGTGTTCACTGACTGAGGCTGTGCTTCTCTTCAAGCAGTGAGCGTGGTACAAACATTGTGTCATTTAATCTCATAATAGCTCCTCAGTTCAGTATCATTATTATCTCAGTTTTATAGATGAGTACACAGAAAATCAGAGGTTTAACTAACATGCTCAAGATCTCCTAACCAGTTAAGTGGTGACGTTAGAATTTTTACCCAAGTCTGTTTGCTAAATATATGCTCTTCATCATTACATCTACATAGGACCAGCTACATAACTTGTAGCACCCAGTGCAAAATGAAAATGTAAATCCACTTGTTAAGACATTATGAAGAATTTCAAGGGGATATCATAGCACTAAACAGAGTTGGGACCTTCTGAGGTCCCTGTGTGACTGCATAGATTGTACACCTCTGAAGCCAGCCCTGCTTCCATATTTTCCAGTTTACCTAATGATAAGAATTACCATGGGAAGGTGCATTGATTTTACAGATTTCTATGTCTTTCTCCAGGATAATCCAATAGAGGGGATTGGGGTGGAGCTCTGGAATCCCTTCCTTTTCTTCTTTTTATTAGAAATAGAGTCTTGCTATGCCACCTAGACTGGAGTGCGTAGCACAATCATGGCTCACTGCAGACTTGAACTCCTGGGCTCAAGCAATCTTCCCATCTTACTTAGCCTTCCAAATAGCTGAGACTGCAGGTCTGGCTAATTAATTAATTTTTTTTTTTTTTTTGTAGAGATGAGGGGGTTCTCGTTCTCGCTATGTTGCACAGGCTGGTCTTGAACTCTTGGCCTCAAGTGATCCTCCCACCTTGGCCTCCCGAAGTGCTAGGATTACAAGCGTGAACCACCACCCCTGCCCAGGAATCTGTGCTTTTAACAGGTGTCTTCAGTAATTCTTATTGCAAGCAAATTGGGGAAATTGCAATATGCCGTACATCCTGGCTGTTTTGGAGGACTTGTTTCATGCATAGCACTGTGCTAGGCACTGTATGTGTGTGTGTGTGTGTGTGTGTGTGTGTGTGTGTGTGTGGTGGGCAGGCGGGAGATGGTGGTGTTGTCAGGGAATTCAAATGTATACATTATGTGGGACAATCATTTTCCAAATTTGCCCTCTCTGACACCTCCAAAACCAGGAACGGGGCTCCTTTATTCCCCTGCGATTGGAACTGCTTGAATTTTAAAGCACTGCACAATTTATTCAGAGGAAGTCTTTCAAGAAGGAGTGGGAGCTAGGCCACAGGATTCTAATCTTGAATATTCAGGGAAAGCAGCATGTCCTATTCAACACGGCTGATCAATAATGAGTGCATTCACACTCTAAATGTGTGCATTATGTACAGATACAAAATATACAATGCCCCCAAAACGGGGAAAGACATTTCTGATTGAATTTTTTTGTTTGGGTTTATAAAAATAACTTGTGGTGCATCAATTACTCTCCATTTCCATGGATACAGGCAATACTTTATTATGTAACTCTACAGCTGTGCCGGTTTTTAATATAAAACCCAGATTTTTTCATCTATTTCTCTTTCATAGTTACTGAACTGAGATAATAACATCTTTTACCTATGAATGTATTCAATTCCCCTTTTTTTTCAGCATCCTGCAAACTATTATTGATTAGAATTTCATTTTGTGGCTTTTGTAATAAAATCTGCAGTAAATGTTACCATTGCAGGCAGTGGAAGGGCGGAGTGGGGGAAGGTCATTCTTTATGTATATTGTGTGTAAATATGTATGTATAAAAAATGCCATTTGTGTGTGCACATTCTTCCAAGTCTAACAAGTGAACGCCTGGGCATTGTACTGACTTCCAATTTGCTCTAGGGCAGTTTTCAAATGGCTGTTTACAAAATGTTGAGAAAATATTCCTCTACACTTTTTTTTAAAGACCCCATCACCCATTTTTTTTGTGAACAGAACTTTATTTCTGCAGTTCCACAATTTGCAATTCAGTGCCATTGTTTTCACCGTCCTGGTGATGCTCAAAGTTGATTGATATTTTGTTCTTTCCGGGTCTCCCTGCACAGAAATGGCTTCCCATCATCCTAGTGGGGATTGGAGCAGAGAGTGAGGGGGAAAGGAAAGAAATGACGTGGGATGAAAATCTGAGACAGGCCTAAAAGGGGCAGATTAGGGAAATGGAGCTGGAGGGGATTTGAGGGGCTATAGAAAGGGATTCTGCCTCTGCAAATTATCAACTATTAGGAATTCTTCTGCTAGCAATTCAAATCCTTTGTGTAAACAGGGTTAATCTCCAGGCCTGGAATGAGCCTGAAGGCTCCAAAAACTCCCTGGAATTTTATGAAAAATAACTGCACGTATGTGTGTCTGTGCACTTTTGTAGGTAGATTTGAGGGTGATGACCTAGCTTACAACAATTCTCAGAGAGGTCATTCCCCCTTTTGATGACAAAGCCAGCAAAGACGTGGGGGCATAGCTAAGCCAGTCATCACCATCCTGATCACAGTGCTTGACCTGAGGGATGAGCACCTGACTCCAGCGGGGCCAGTTAGAGTCCTTCCCTGGGACATTTCCAACTCCACTTGGAGGAAAGAACATGCTTCCCACTCTAGTTGATGGTGTGAGGATTCAGCCATGCCTCTATGCCATGTGGAAAAGCACATCTGTAATAGGAGGGAAGTAAGCTGTCAATCAGAAAAAAGCAGAGATGAGAATGAGCGCCAGGGAGAGAGAACATAAGAGATTGCTGACAGCACTCCACTGATTGGGTTACCCCTTGGACCAGCTCCACCCATGCCCTTTCTAAATTTGCATATTTGATTCACTAAACAGCCCTTTTTGGCAAAAGCTAATTCCACTTGGTACCTATCACCACAGCCAACAGAATCTTGATAAAATATAATCCACAGCTTTTATCAGATTTGTGTGACCGCCAGATGGGGTGAAAACAGCCATGTAAGACCTCCTCTCCCAGTAGTTATCTTAAATTGTCACAGCCTCTGGGAGGGATGGCTCAGAAAGTGGTAAACCCTGGTATGATTGGGAAGGAGTTGATTAGGTACTTTCTCCATTGATAAAAGATCCTAGGAATGAAAGTGGGGGCCTCCAGTGATCCACTTACTTTACAATTTTGCAAGGAATAATCCCTGGGTTGATAGTGCTGACTTTGAGTAGGCACTTATTAAGGACCACTACATGCACAGTTACTGTCAGATGGAAAAGACTGAGGCTATGACCCATGCCTCCAACTTATATGAGGTTGACGCTCAGATAATATTTTCCAGGTATGTTGCAAGTAGGAGTGTGAGATGAGGTACAGCAAAGAGTTCATGTGTGAAGGAGGAGGTGGAGCAACTAGCAAAGCCACCAGAATTATTGCTGGAATATTAATTAAATTATTTAATTGATTAATTCAAGAGCTCATCATGGAATAGGATGGTAATAGAACATCATGAAATGCTCAGCATTGGGTCTTTCCCCATATTTGTGTGGTCTTCCTTCTCAGGAGGCATCAAATGCACAGGAATTCTGCTTCAGTGACTTTTCTTTTTAGGGGGCCTCCATGTCTCAGTCTTTCCTGTCTATCGAATGGTCATAATCATTTCAGTCCCACCTACTTCACTGAGGTGTCATGAGGACCTAATGAGATCTTTAAATGTTGTTCAAATGCCCCAAGTAGCTACATCTATATCTGAACTAGTGTGTCTTGGCTCTGGGAGAGAGACATTCCCATATAGAAGTCCATGCGTCCTTTCTACCTGTGGGAGACATCATCAGTCGATCTTAGCACTCTTTTCTGCCTCAACTTGCTTGAGCTCAACCTCTCCGGCTCAACTTTAGAGTCTTTTTCAACACAACACTCCATGCAGCCTCTGCCACTGATAAGAGCTGGCATGTAAAATGCTATTGGCAGTCCCTGATCTAGGTTCTCAAATGACCGGTATTAGGGTGGCAGGTTGGGGACGAATTTTCTAACTAATTATGGAGGAAGGATGAAGATATCATGATGTGTGTGAAAAGAACCAAATGGCGTGACTGTTAGGCAAACATAAACAGGAATTTAGGAGTTAGGAGAAGGGCTTGCCATTTTAGTTATTTAAACATCTATGTTATCACTAAAAACAGAAAAGAGGAGTGTTAGCTAAAATCAGCCTAATTACTTCTCCCCAGGCACCCTAGGCTGTGATCCTAGAACTGAACAGTCTGATGAGTCAATACAGGGCACACAGTAGGAAAGTCATTATTACTTTTTGCTCCTGGGGATATAAGACAGTGATGTAAGAATAACCTGATGAACAGGGAACAGACACAAATTAGCAAATTTACTTAAAAGTAAGGTTCGAGTAGTAGAAGATGAGAGCATTTGCATTCTTATTGGTATGTTTATCCAGAAGTGAGCAACCACATGCAAAACGATAATTCATCTACCACTGATTAAAAGACACAAGTGGCCTCTGGGCAGGGACTAGAAGCTTTAGCCAAACATAATTCAGAGACCCACAGCTGCTGCATTGCCTCGGTCTCTCCCCATATAGCCAGCGCCTTCTCAGAATACTCTGGACAGAACTAATTTCCTGATTTCCACAGTGACTGATAGGCCACTGAAGACTCCCTCTAAGGCTTGTCTCAATCTTAGGGATGCTTACCCCCAGGGGTCACACCCCTACTAGGGCTATGGTCAACTGAGTCAGGGCTGGATTTCTCACCCACCCTGGGCCAATCGGATTTTCTTTCCCCACATTCAGTATTAAATGACTGAATCTCTATCAGGTGTCACTAGACTTAGCAGGTCATTTAGATGTGAGGGATAACAGTCCAAGCTTGCAGGTGGAGCAGAGATGCTTTTCTGAACAAAGGGGTTGGGGAGAGAGTTGGCTGTGCTTTCTCAAGATAAAGCCCCTTTAATTTCATCTAGCTTAATTGGGCTTCTGTTCTCTGCAAGCAAACTTGCCTTGAACCAAACTGCTTCCCCAAATCTGGAATGTGCACCCCTGGGGTGCACATTACTGATATTTAGGCAGCAGGAGAGATGATTTTTACACGGTGCATAGCTGCAGCCTTTTAAAATGTTATCATCGATATCCATTCTGAGAAAGAAATTCCCTTTCAGTCCTTTTGATTATCTCAGTTTGGTGCTTGTCTTTAACACCTAAGACTTGCTAATTTCCTATTTCAACAACGAGAGGATAGGGCTTAGGTTAAGAGCCTTCAGCAATCAACATTATCTTGCTAGACTTGAATAATATTATTTTGCATTTATTTTTAGGTTGTCTTTTTTATGGTAGTTATCTTACATTTTTCATTTCCCTCATTCTGACCCACAGAATCCGTGAGAAATATTAAAATGATCATTGTTGTTTAAAGCCACTACGTTTAGGGTGGTTTGTTATATGGCAATAGAGAATGGGAACAAAATCCATACCAGATAATTAAATAGAAGGGAATTAATACAGAGAATCAGTTTTTAAAAAGCTGTGTTACCGGAAAGGGGTCCCAATCCCGACTCCAACTGAGGGTTGTTGGATCTCAGGTGAGAAAGAATTTGGGGCGAGTCCATAGAGTAAAGTGAAAGCAAGTTTATTTAAAAAAGTAAAGGAATAAAAGAATGGCTACTCCATAGGCACAGCAGCAGACTGAGATGCTGGTTGGCCATTTTTATGGTTATTTCTTGATGATATGTCAAACAAAGGGTGGATGATTCATGAGTTTTCTGGGAAAGGGATGGGCACTTCCCAGAACTGAGGGTTCTTCCCCTTTTTAGACCATACAGGGTAACTTCCTGATGTTGCCATGGCAGTGTAAACTGTCATGGCTGGTGGGAGTGTCTTTAACATGCTAATGCATTATAATTAATGTGTAATGAGCATTAAGGATGACCAGAGGTCAGTCTCATTGCCATCTTGGTTTTGGTGGGTTTTGAACGGCTTCTTTTCTGCAAACTATTTGATCAGAAAGGTCTTTATGATTTCTATTTTGTGCCAACCTCCTGTTTCATTCTGTGACTTAGAATGTGTAACCTCCTGGGAATGCAGCCCGGTAGATCTTAGCTTTATTTTACCCAGCCCCTATTTAAGATGGACTTGCTCTAGTTGGAATACCTTGGACAATTAGAAGAGTGCAAAGAGCAAACAGGAGATGGTGAGTAGCAATGGCAAGGAGGCATTACCGCTCATAGGCCTGGAGGGACAAAGAGAGCAGGAGGTGTTACAAGTGTCCAGGAACCAGAGTCACCTGTGAGAGCTGGAGTCATGGTAGGGACTGCCTGGTGGGAGCTGGAATCCAAGAGGTGATGTAGCCACTGCCAAAGAGAGATAGGGGCATATCAATAGTTTAGCTCTACCCCTTGTCCCACTCTTTAACGTCCTGTTGGGGCTCCTACCAAAAGCCTGTTGCTATGGAGCCTGGACATCATAATTGACAGGAGCCAGTTTCCTGGGATACAGAAGAGGGCAAGGCCAGGGCGGGCAAGGGATTGAAGAGCAAATGAGGCAAGTGACCAACCAGTACACAGGATCACGTGACACAAAGCAAGGCAAAGCACTTCCCAGAATGACTGTGACCAGAATGGCTGGGCACAGAATTGAGGATATGAAAGGCATGTGGGGTTTCATAAATTGCCCTTCAGCCAGTTCAGATGGCACCTGCTCAATAGCCATGCCTGATTCCTGGAGATCGGACTTAATTCTTTCCACACAATGCTACTGTTCTAGTAACAATCAGGGCTCTTTTCAGTTGCAAGTGGCCCACTTTTTAAAAATATCCAAGGTAAAAAGGCTTCAGGCAGAGATGGAAGCAGATGTTCAACGATGTCATCAGGTAACTGTATTTGTCCATCTTTTAACTCTGCTCTCCTGTATTGTTTTTATTTTCAAACAAAAGCTCCTCATGTAGGAACAACACACCTACCAGAAACTCCAAGTTTGCATCCATTGGCTGCATAACCCCGGTGAAAACTCAACGCCTCTTCCATAGGAACTTCAATAGTTCCAGCCAAAGTGCTGGAGTTGAGTTTCATTGTCCTGGCTTGGGTCAAGTGTCCATGCCTGAGCTGACCACTAGGGCCAGGAGAGTGGAGATGTTCTGATTGTTCAGACCTGGAACATGTGCCCAGCTCTGCAGCCAGAGCATGAAGTAGGGTGGTGTAGGAGTCAGCCTCATCTGAGTGGAAAGGCATTTCATCTAAAGAAAGTAAGGTTTTGTTTCCAGAAGAGGGGATGCTGGGCAGGTACAAATAATAGACATCTTCCCTAATCCCTTCAGCACTTCTGTTACCAGCCATGCTCAAGTTTCCCTTTGGTCTTGACTGGTCAAACTGGTCAAACTAGTTCTGACGACACACATCTCCATATCCCCACAATGTCTGACATGGTGCCAGGGACATAGTAAGTGCTCAGTAAACATTTGTGGAATTGAATTGGGTGCAAGTGATTGGAGTCTGCATTCATTTCTCGGGTGCAATGGGCATTTCCATATCCTGAGGATGCAGGCTGTATTTCTCATACTTTCCCTAGGGTGGGTAGTGGGCAGAGGAGAGGGAAGCAGCAGTGGCCCAAGTGCAGCCTCCCTCCCACCTCCTGCTGCCTGATCTCTTGGGGACCCTGGCCAAACCAGCTGAGAGCTCATCTCCATTTGCTACAAATTAGAAAACTAGCATTTTCCCTTCAGTTGGCCTGAGGCACAGTCTTTCCCTTCCAATCTGAATTGCATATAAGTCCCATTTCTTCCTGTTGGATGTTTAAGAACAATCTGACACTTCAGTTGTTTGTTCTTTTCTTTCAGATTTACAGGAGAAAACACATTTTAGAGCCCTGTTTGGTATTCTAGCCCCTTTTATAAAGTTCCTCCAGTATTGCACCGCAAAACTGAAGTTCTTCAATTACTCTGCACAAATTAACTTCAGACTCAATCTTTGCACAGGGCCCGGACTCCTTCAGTTACTGGCCTCCAGACCAGCCTCCCACTAAGCAGAACCATTATGGAGTCTGTTTATAACAGCGCCATTAAAAATGAAGAGCTGTCAAGAATCCCTTATAATGATGTTGGAAACCGTATTCGCAAAGATTTTTTAATGACTAGATGGTTTTTAAAAGGCAATAGAACACTTTTAATGAACCCTAATGTAATAAATCAATCACAGTTTCTCTGACTTGACTACACTGTCTTTATATTTCTTGCAACTTATGGAAAACCACACCATTAATTCTTTCCTAATTTCCCTATCCCGCACCATACTCCTGCAAAGCTCAAGCGGACATCTAGGTAAAGCATATTTATATTTTGAGAGATCTAGGTTTGCTATGAACATTGTTTACCAAACTCAATCTTGAAGTTACCTATTGGAACATGGGCTCTTTTAAATTTTATTTTTGGTGTTTGCTCTTTTGAGGGTCTAGTATTAACTAGAACATCCTAATCACAGGCAAAAGAAACTAAGTCCAACTAACTTAAGAAGAGAAAATTTATTGGAAGGATATCAGAAGCTCACAGAATTGTTGAGAGCTTTGAGCTTGATTAGAAATGGACAGGAACCAGGACAACTCTGAAGGGCTGGAAAATAGGAATTACAGAAAGTATCTTGTAGAACACAGTGGCCAGAAACTACTACCACCTCCACCCACGAAAATACCTCTCTCCTGGTTTCACTCTCTCCTGACAGACCATGAGATGGGTTGAGTTTAAGTCATGTTCCCTGGTGGCTCCCTGGCTGTGCTGAGGTGGGGAGAGGAAAGATAGGGTCTTTTTGGCTTCCATCATGGGAAATGAGCACCTTATTTGCTATCCCATCAGGTGACATACAATGGGCAAGGTAATTTCCCAAAAGGAAATCATGGAACCTCTCAAAAGTGATATTAATGAAAGGAATGTCAGCTGCTATACTAGACAATAACCTCAATTTTCTGTATTGGCTTAACACAGCACAAGTTTATTTCCAACTTACATAATAGTCCATTTTGGTGGTTTCTAATTAGAAGGTTTACTTTCAAGGGGTAATTCAGGGATGTAGGTTCTTTTGTCTGATACCTCTGCATCTTAACATGTAGCTCCCAAACTTACACTATAGGTCTTCTATATTCCTGGGGTAAAGAGTTTTTTGTTTCTGTTTCTAGAGACAAGGCCTTGTTCTGTTGCTCAGGCTGGAGTACAGTGGCACAGTCATAGCTCACTGAAACCCTGAAAGCCTGGGTCAAGTGATCCTCCTGCCTTGGTCTCCCGAATAGCTGAGACATAAGCAAGGTGCATGGCATCATGCCTGGCTAATTTTTTTTTTTTTTAATTTTTTGTAGAGATGGGGTCTCTGTATATTGCCTAGGCTGGTCTTAAACTTCTGGCTCAAGTGACCCTCTCACCTTGGCCTCCTGAAGGGCTGGGATTACAGGCATGAGCCATTGCACCCAGCATTTCTGCCTCTTTTTAATGCGTTACATCTGGAAGTGGTGGGCATCACTTCTGTTCACATTCCATTGGCTAGAACTCACATGATCCCTCTTGAATTGCCAAGGAAGTGAGAAATACAACCCCTCTTGGGACAGCTGTTTCCTAGTAATTCTCTGCATCATGGAATGGGAAGCAGGAACCTTTGGAGGATGGAGACTAACCTTTGCTGCAGCGGAGGAAATGAGAGATGGAGATGGATTGACAGAACCTCCAATGGATAAAGGTCCACTGTGGAGTTTGGGAAGGTAATGGACTTCCCCAATTTGAGCACAGGTAATTCCAGGAGAGAGAATTTTTCTGGTTTTGCCAATAGATATTTCCCCCCTTCAACGGGATTCTGATGCAAAAATTCCCAGTGAGACTGGAAAGGTATTGTTATTCCCAATTTTGCCCCTGAAAATTTGAGGATTAGGGTTGGTGAGGGCTAGCATTTAGCTCTTTTGACTCCTCAGAAAGTTCCCCTTTTACTACACAACCCTGTATCCGCAGCATTTTGACATCTTGTTGCTTCCTTGAGCAGAGCAAAACAGAAAGTTCCATACCAGCACTGGAACCAGAATGAAATCCCATTCCCCACTCTAACGGAAAAGACTGCTGCGTATTTGTAATATCTTAAAGTAAAACAAACTCTTCTTCATTTTCCTCTCCACACAGCTCCCCTTTAACTCCGCTCCCCCATTCAGCTCTCTATTTGGGCTTGTTTCATGAATTTATTCTTTTCCCCAGAGACAAAACTTCCTTAGAACAACAACAATTTTAAAACAAAGATCTTAGTTGTTATGCAAACACAGTTTCATTTCCACAAAAGAGCATTTCACAAAAAGAAAAATAAATGCACATTTTAAAATGTCAGTTAAAGAAATGGAAAACCAAACCGAACCAATAAAAAAAAAAAACCAATGTAAACCTGCCAGGGAGAATACACAGTATAATGCCATGTTGCCCAAAGAGCGATTTGTCCAATGTCGTTGAGGTGAGTGAAAGAGACTGGCCCATGAGCAGGAACATTCTGACAATTTAAAACACGTGTGTATGTGTGTATGTGTGTTTGTGTATGTATCTACATCTATGTCTATTACTATAATAGTGTGTGCATGTGTACACACATTGTAGATACACTGTGATATATATATATATAATATGAAAATACATATCATTTAAATCAGTGCAGTATATTGGATAGAATGGTAGGCTAGGAACAGAGTAAACAGAGTAAGTCAGAGTGATGGAGTTGTCTCAGCCACCACCACCATTACCCCATCTTCTAATTTCTTGCTTCTATATCATGGACTTTTAATGGTAACTCCACTTAAATACATTATTAAGCAAAGTAGTAAGCTGGAGATGTAATTCTGGTAAGTGCCATGCCATTTCATGGTGCGATGGAGAAGGTCATTATTCCTGTGGCTGCAGTGTGCCTGAGTGGTGTGTGTGCTGACTTTCAGGTTGGTAGAACTGGGTTCATGTCTCAGCTGTGCCTGTGATTGTGTGCACAGATCTTTATTTTTCAGGGACTCAGTTTCTCCTACCATAAAATGAAGGAGTTAGAGGAGGTGATTTTAGCATCACCTTCCAGCTCTGAATTTGTTCCCTGATTCCCAGTTTCAGAAAGTTGTGGCAAAGCAAGTATGTTGTTCTTTTCCCAAATCACAGTTTGTGGCTAATTATATATCTCCCCGTTTCCTCTTGCCATAAATTTTCATTTCAACTCAGTAAGTTGTAGACCTTCGTCAACACTGGTGCAGGAACGAGTGGACATGTCTTGTTAGATTCGCTCGCTCCTGCTTCTGCCTGCTTCCTAGATCCACAGATCCACAGGATGGAAATCCTGCATTACCTGTCCTGCCTCTCACTCTACAAAAGAAGGAACGGAGGTGATAGAACGGCTCAGATACAGAAAGCTTCAGCATGGGATGGGGTTTCCCACATTACTTACTGAGCCTGTTAGTGTACAGTAGAGGATATGGAGGTGCCTCAGTCTCCACCACCATCACCCCATCTCCTAACACAGTTGTCTGCCCCCACCTCCCCTAGGGGTGAAGCTGCATTTCAGCATGACCTCCATTGTCCTTGTCTTTGCTCTACCCCCAGTGCTCAGTCTAACCAGTTTGGACCCACGGAATACAAAGAGTGGAATGCATGTCAGAAGTGTGGAGGAGTAAACACTTTGTGAAGCAAACTATCCAATGAGAGAAAAGAGATGGGAAAAAGTCTGCAAATAAACCCCTCCCTCTTCCTTCTTCCCACAGACAAGTTGCAAGTTGCAGGGGTTCCATAGTTTCTTGAGAGATGTCCTGCTTGACCAAGCAATGGGTTGTGTTTCTTGCAAGGCTGTGGCCAGCTCAGTAAAGCACCTTCTTGTATTTTTTTTCTTCTTTCCTCCCTGATGCTTATCTCTTTTTCCTCACTCTTGATGTCCTGGTGTTTTGTGCTCCAGTAAAGCCCCAGCCCATAAGCTTTGCCTCAGGCCATTCTCCAGGGAACTATGCTAGGACACCACCTGTCAGCAGCATCTTCCCCAATACTGGACGCTACCACTGGTGTTTGGGAGATGGTTTTAGACGCCACAGCAGGTGCAACGTTGAATCTGATGGCGAAGATGTTACTTCTGTCTCAATTTGCTTTCAATCTTCTTTTTTTTTTTTTTTTTTGAGACGGAGTCTCGCTCTGTCGCCCAGACTGGAGTGCAGTGGCGCGATCTCGGCTCACTGCAAGCTCCGCCTCCCGGGTTCACGCCATTCTCCTGCCTCAGCCTCCGGAGTAGCTGGGACTACAGGCGCCCGCCACCACGCCCGGCTAATTTCTTTTTGTATTTTTAGTAGAGACGGGGTTTCACCGTGTTAGCCAGGATGGTCTCGATCTCCTGACCTCGTGATCCGCCCGCCTCGGCCTCTCAAAGTGCTGGGATTACAGGCTTGAGCCACCGCGCCCGGCCTCAATCTTCTTAATTGCCCCATGGAGAAAGTTTCTGTTTAGAGCTGTTTTGTCTTACATAATTCTATACCACTCTTAATAAATTCCTCTTCCACAAACAGACATCTGATCTCAGGAGGAAAGCTTTCAGTGAAAATCATAAGCACATATCATTTAATCACATTGTTTCATTTCCAGTTTATTTATTTTGTGCTTAGCTTCTCTTTAGGGGGGTACTCATTTTCTAGTTATAAGTGATACACATCTTTCTTTCAAATAAATTTGACTACAAAAAGTCAATTAAAAATAACTAACCAAATAACACAGAGAGGTGATCAGGAATAGTACAGAAATATGCACAAGGTGATAGGACAGGGATGTGGTCTAACCCATGAAGGTGAAACGTGATCAGCCAGAATTTGGGAAACTGCTTTAGAGCAAAGGATTTTTCTTCATGCTTTAGGAGCAACAACAATCTGCCTCAGCCTTCACTTCCAAATCCGTTTTGTTCCTTGCTAGCCTTTCCCTGAGATCTTCACATATTCTAAGTGGCCCCTTTCCTCCCCAGGGTACAGACATCCCCTAGTCTTCAAGCAGATTTTGGCAACTGTGTTTTATACAGTGCAACAGTGAGATTCGCACTTCCCGCTGTCTAGAACTACAGGCACTGAAATAA